TATGGCAGAGTGTCTAAAACACTGAGTTGTGAATCCAGAAATCCCTCGTTCAAATCCAGCTTCAGGAAAAAAACAAAACAAAAAAACCTCACTCCATGGCTTTAGGATCAATGCATACATTTTTCCAACAAACATTAGCTCTTGAACCTCCAGATGTTTTGACCTACAACTCCCATAAGCCTTAGTTAGCCAGTGGTGAAGGATGATGGGAGCTGTAGGCCAAAACTTCTAGAGAAAAGTTGCCTACTTCTGCCTTAGAGTAAACTAACTCAGGCCTCCTCCTATGGGAATAATGATACTGATCTAGCCTGCACAGCGGTTATAAGAATTACTGAGATAATGTGTCTGAATCTTTTTAAACTCTAAAATGTTATGCAGTACTAAAAAGCAAGGATGGGACTATCTTCATCACCTAGAGGACTTGGACATTTCTACCTCTACTATTCTGTGTATGCCCTGTTAGAAGTTTTCACTGCATTTGGCATTGAATAAAGAAATACTAATTTAGCATTCTACTTGCAGGAATATTTAAAAGCAGGACAAAAATGGTGTTGAGACCAAAAAACCAGCAAGTTCATTCCATTTTTCAGCTCTAATAAATTTTCAAGGTTGCCTTTTCCTAAGCCAATTTAAATTCTTCACATGTGAAGTAGAGTATTAATGATATTAAGTGAAATATGCCCACCAAATGTGATTTGCCACCTGCCATACTTATAAAAAGAATGTGCAAGCTATTTCAACAATATATGAAAACTAAGCAAATTCACTTGGGGCTGCATTTACCTTCTTTCCAAGGTCAAAAAGGGTATTTGCTGCCTTGGTGTCAGACAAAGCACTAAAGAAACGCTACACCTGCTGAAGCTCTTCTACACAATGAAAACTACAGGAGCCTTTGTCCCTGCAGTATTTTGCATCTGGCGGTCCTATTTATAGAACACATCTAGTGCCCTTAAAAAGTGTTATCCGATGTTTATGTTAACATACCTAAGCATTAACAGGTACCGTTCTGATGTTGAAATTGTGTGTTTCCAAGATTAACCTCTGAGGAGGAGGAACAAAAAACTGAAGGGATTCTCTGTAACATGGACAAGTACATGGGCAGGCACAGCAGGTGACTTTTCGCTTTAAATTTGCAGCCAATACCAAGAGAAGCTTGTTCACACATCTATTTAGAGTTCCACACCCTGCATCAGGGGAGAAGGCCAAACTGCTTCTTTCAGTTTGTGAACTTGTCATGTCATTTTTACCTTATGCAAAACAGTTCCTGTGTAAGCACACCCATGTTTATTGAAAAGTAAATCCTAGTATTTCGATAAGAATCTCAGGTAGGATTGTGGCCATTGATCGTGTGAACATGTAAGAGATTGCGTGGGGTTCTGTTTAAATTCTGTATACACAAACTGGATTACTGTTATTACCTTTCTCAAGTTGAACATTCTCAGGTGAAATCTTGGACCTGATTCACACATATAGCAACCCACAGAGTGGGTACGCTGCCTTGCAATCACTTTCAATTCCACTTTGGTTTGGTTGTGTCCTGGGATGTCCAAATGGGGCTGAGGGAAAATCAACCCAGAGTTCTAGGTTTGCATGACAGCTCTGTAATCCGGAAACAAAGCATACATTCCTGTGCTGCTGTTAGTTGCAAACCAGGTCATTAGGCACATGCCCTTTTATGTGCCAGAGATCAGAAGAGCTGAATGGCTGGTCCTGCAACCACTGCAGCCGGTATAGAAAAGAACAGATAATATGGTCTGTTCATCCAACCCAAGCTAGATCTCAGGCAGTTGCATTCTGCACCAGCTGATTCGTCTGAGTTGTCTTCAAAGGCAGCTACAGGACAGTACTTACTGTTGTAAGCATGCACACTGGGAACTCTGTTGTTAGTGAGGGAATAGTGGCAGGTGTGTTATTTTGAGCAGAAAGTTGACAGGGAACTTGGCTGAGCAGCCTCACTCTCTCTCCTCAGCCTCCCACAGCAAGATAATAGTAAAGACGCTTCACTTAAAGTTAAAAGTCATCTGAATGAAACATTCTAATATCAGGATAAGAAACATACGTGGATGAGCACTCAGAAAGCAAAACTTCCTTCACAGTCAGTGCAGAATGTGGGCCTTTCTTAATAGTGCTCAGCTACAGAGCCTAGCCGAGCGTCTCCTCAGCTTGCAGAGAACTCTGCAGACTTGGAGGTGAATCAAACACACACCTGCTGTCTATAAAATGTCACACGAGGAGCATACCAAATAAGTTAAATATATGTTCGTATGAAGGTGGGGTGCCAGATGAACAGACAGACCATCAGCCTGTTTAAACCATTCTGGAAGGATTAACTGTGCCTGACACATTTTGCAGAAACCATATAAATATTATCATTAATACCTTAAAAGTAGGTTAGAATGTTAATAGTAACATTCTGTCTCCTTCCTCTTCAGCATGAGCATGGGACATACAGTTTTAGTAAAACATAAAATACTTACTAAATTATACACAAACACGCACACACAGGGAAGTAAAAGGCAATGGGTGAATCTAATGTCATGTGGGTGGATCTTTCCTTTGCCAACTGCTCCCTTCCTACTGCCCCACAGTCCACATCCTCCAAACCTCCAGAGTGCATCTGGAGGGTGCTTGGATAGTTTATCATGAACACACTAGGCTGGTGCTCAGGAAGACTTTCTGCCAGGAGAAGATCCTGCTCACCCATGTGAAAACCTACAAAGAGATTTGCTTCACCCTTCTCAGCAATGCCTGAAAACATACAGAAAGGAAAATTGAAGGCAGAGAGATCTCTCATCATTGCTGAGATTGCTTCCAGGCAGCTTGCCAGGCATAGATTTCATTGCGCATAAAACAGCACTTCCATAATAGAGCTTGCCTACTTTCCAAAGGCAGTTAGAGAAACCACAAATACTTTGTAAATCAGATTTGGATCATCCAACCATTGCAAGACTGGGGCTTTCCCATTCCTGGCAATCAACTTGCAAAACTGAGTTACTCATTACAGTTAATTGCAAAGACAAGATGGCCAGGCAAGCATAAAGGGATTAAGAAGGATAACAGGAATGCGGATATGTTAAGATGATTGTCATCTCATAACACTTAGACAGCTGCTGGCATTAAATACTGTGGTGCTTCCAGATGTTGGCTCAGTCAAACAGTCATGGTCCTTTTGTACACATCCAAGCATCCCTGGATACCACATGGCAGTGGCTGATAATCCAATGAAGGAGAAGCATGCTGCCTGGGGATGATGGGAGCTGACATCCAAAACATCCAGAGGACACCAGGTTGGAAAAGGCTGTGCTACAAAAACACAACTGAGTGTCATTTCAATCCCCAAGGACAACAGAAGAGCAACTAATGCACTGGATTTCAAGGTTGTTGTTATTAGCATTATTAAAAATGTTATTGTTCAATATCACTACTATTATTAGTATTACTGTTAATTACATTTATACCCTGCCTTTCTTCCTCTTCCAAGGAACCCAAGGCAGGATCCAAGATTCTCCTCCTCTCTATTTTATCCTCAGAACAACAAGCCTGTGAATGTATATAACTGCCTCAAAGTCAGCCAGTGAGCTTCAAGATCTCCTGATTCCCAGTCTGGCACTCGTAACCACCATACCACACCAGGCCGTGAAATCTTTCTGAGGAATCTGAGGCTCTTGGTCTACTCCAAACACACACAAAAAGCTGAAATGGCAGCCCTCTCCTAATAAGTGAACTTTATTGGAAATATTTGAATGATGGGTCTCCTTAATGCCTCAGTTCTACCCCGCTCCCGAATGGGGTTAGATTACAGAGTCACATAGTTCTTTGATTCAAATAAATGTAGTACAGGTTAAGTATCGTAAGTACTATTGAGCAAACACAGGGATTTCGAAGTGCTAGAAAGTACAATCTTCGGCAAACAGGTTGTGGGTGGGATCATACCATGTAAATGCTCAAACATTTACTGAAGAATGAAAGCACTTCAGGGCCACACCTTTGCACGTCTTGGAGATTGCTGAGTTTAGGCATTCAGTACTGGGATCCTAAAATGTGAGAAACTGGACTTTCTATCACTTGTAAATGAGCCTTCATTACTGTAGGGTGTAGAATGCTACTCAATCCAGTTTCTATGGAGTGACAGCAAATACAAGGGGGAAACCAGCATACTTAGCTTAAAGCTCTTTCTGCTTTGGGGAGGGATGGCAGCCTTTCAGAATGGGGGAAACTGCGCAAAAGCCAAGTCATTGGTGGAGGAAAAGGGGTGGAGCCAGAGAAAGGGTTGTGGCTATCCAGGGAGGCCTGGTGACCAACATTTGAACCCCATGCCTGAGGTTCCACAGCCTTAATTTATTTTTGGCGTCAGCACCAGTCTTGTTTTTCCTCCCAGCCCACTCTGCTCTACATTTAGCCTATTGAGGAGCTTTTGAGAACTTGGAAGCTTTCTCACTATTTGATGACATTTTGGTGAGGTCTAATAAAGGTACAGACCTACTGAAGACATTTGGAACCTTTGACTGAAAGCACCTTAAAAATTATTTGACTAGGAGTTAAAATATGCAGGCTCACAAACAACGGATCGAAAAGTAAACCAGGCCTTCTGAATCCAAATCCACTAAACAATTGTACTACAAGAATGTAGTATTTTTAAAGGGGAAGCAAAAAATTTCATAATTATGACACTGAGTAAAGGAATTAGTCAACACAGTAAATGACCTGATCTTAGCCATCCCCAAGGCAGCATTCAAATGTCACCAAGGCTCAGGCTATCCACCATCCAGAGCAGAATTGTTTATTCAGGAAAGCACAACAGCAAAGCCCATTGGTGCTTGCCCATTGTGTTCTGCATATTGTGTTCCCTGTTTGCGCATTCATCTCTCAGCTTAAGATGGAACCATAAACAATAGCAACACCAGCAGGATTCACCTTCTTGATGATTGAACTGTCATGAAAAACAGTGGGTGCCTTTGCAGTGCCCATGGAAGAGCAATGAGGCATCAAAGGTTACTTACACCACAGTAACGATCGTTGCTGAAGATCTGGGGAGGCAGCGGGTTGCCTTGTGCAGGCTGTTTGTCTTGAGGAATATTTTTATACATCCATCGCCTTTGGTCCTCTGACATGGTGATATCCACCTCTTCAAAGTCAATCTTGTTGGCTTCCAGAAATCGCACAATGTCTTGCTGCCTCTTCTTTATCTGAGAGAAAGCGAAGCCAAAACAAGGATGGAACCAGCTGTTGCTAAGACAGTTAGATTAAACTACTGCGTCTTGACAGAATTACTTTGATCACAGGTAGCACAATCCATGTCCACAGCAGTGCCTTTATACACTACCGACAATTAATTGGAGAGTTTCCTTATCTGTATCTTCAAGTGTTTGCCGTGTTTTCTAACAGTACCATTGCGCAAGCCACAGTAGTGCCTTCCTGTGGCTCAACTTTTCCTTTTAAAAATAGTATTAATTTTCCAAATACAAAGACCATCCAGACCATAATACATCAAATTTAAGTCTAGATGTGTTTTTCTTTTACTTCACATGCAAAAACGAGGGTAGGGTTTATTGGCTACCTGGAAATTTTCTTTGTGGTTCTTTATAATAACAAATCATATTAGGGACACAATCCGATGCATGTTTAGACAGAACATGCAAAAGTCCAGCCCCCAGAATTCACCAGCCACCATGGCTGAGTGTGGTGCAGTGTGGTGTAGGGTTAAAAGTGTGGGACTGGGACTCAGACAATCTGGGTTCTAGCCTTGCTTGGCCAGCTGTGTGACTTGGGCCAGTCACAAACTCTCAGGCCAACCTCACAGAGTTGTGGTGGTGGTGGTGGTGGGGATAAGATTGAGAGCAGGAGAATTATGTAAACCACTTTGAGTTTGTTATAAGAAAAAGTGGAATATAAATCTAATTATTCTACTTATTATAAGCTGTATGACCTTTTTAATGGTCTAAACATGCCTAGGATTTTGCTTTTGTTGTTTTACAAATCTGCTGAAAGGCCTTGCTAGAGATGATTACATTTGTCCCTTATTTGTATATGGAATAAAACCATGCCACTTGGAATAAAAACCAGATTATTTTAACTGCCTTTAGCAAATTTAAGATAATATAAATTTTTCTACCATGGCTCCAGGTACCAGAATCTCAGTGTTGAGAGTTTTAAGCTTTCCAACTTTTTAGCTATTACCATGCTAGATACCATCAGCCAGGACACAATTAATTCTTGAGACATCACTTTTGGATTTTATTTTCAACAAGCTGCTTGAATTTCTCATTCCGGAAATCAGTACTTTATTGACTATATTGTTATTGCTTTTCCCTTGTATTTTTCATCTTTGTATTATTTGTATCTTGTATGTCACCTTGTGGTGGTTCTGCCCTCAAGGTCAGCTTTTAAAAAAATCTAGACAGATGCAGAAATCAACGAGAGCTGTGACTGCATCTTCCCTGAATCCACAGATGCTGTGGACGCCTTTCCTTAAAACGTGTTCCTCTCCCAAGAAGGAAACAGTAGAACTTCTATCACTGCCACACTGAAGGAAGCCACACATTCAGAAAATGTTTCCCCATTTAAAAATATGTGGCAGGAGACTCTTCTGGTTTATTCAGACCTGTGGTTCAAATGCCCATTCTGCTATGATGGTCACTTGCCCTTCCAATGGACCTACCATATGGAACCAATATGAGGATAAAACCAGGATAGCTGCATGTATGTTGCCCTGTAATTTTGGAGGAGGGGAAAATTATAATAATGATTATAAAAAAGAAAGGATGCAGAACAGCCCTTTTACTATTTAGTTTTCATTTTCCTCTCACTCTTGTTTAATTCACTGAAGAAAACCTCAGGACTTTGATTGAAAGATTGAAGCAAGTCTCCTTATATTGAAGCTACATATTCTACCATCTCAGTTTAGCTGAGCTAGAGATTGATTTATTACATTTATATCCTGTCTGTTTTCCTGCAAAGAATCAAGAATCCTCCTCTGACTCTCTATTTTACTCTCACAACAATTCTCGAGGTAGGTTAGTTTGAGAATCAGTAACTGACCCTAATACATTCAGTGAATGGCCAAGGGGAGAATAGACTCTACCTTTCCTGAGTCCCACCTCAGCACTCTAACCACTATGCCTCATGAGTTATTCGATTTGCAACACAGTTTCTTTACAGTGTCCTTATCTTATCATTCTTTTTTCTTCCTCTGCCGAAGATACTATTGAGCCTTATTGATGATATACAAGAATGTTACATTTTAATAAAACTCAATAATCAGGATGTTTGAAAAACCACACAGCAGCGTGAAAGATACACAGGCGTTATTTCTAATTTGACACAACCTTATTGGAGTGGCTGGAGGTACTTCCAAGAAACCATACCAGAGATCTTATTATTCTATAAATCTATCTAAATTTTAACGAACTGGCATGGAAGAATACCATGGATTCTGTAGAATGCACAGTTTTTTTGAATATGCTTAACTCCTAGACTAGCACCAGTTTTGCTTAGCAGTGGTTTGCTTGGCACGTTGTCCAAACTGCAGAGCCCAACCTGTTGCTCTGAAACAAACCAAGATTTGCAGAGCCAAAACAAAGAAACAGATGAACGAACAAACGAACAAACAGATTTGTGATGCTGAACTGCAAAGAGCACCACAAACCAGGAACTTGGGTTTAATCAATACACTAAACAGCTCCTTTATGGTTTGGTTTTGCTGAACTACTGGAAGAAGCCAACTGGGGGCAAATGGTACACCAGAATGCCATAAAATGTTGAGTTATCCTTCTGTCTATGCATGCCCAATAGCTTACAAAAACACCTGCCCAGAGTTCCTTTACTCTGAATTACCCTTTTAAAAAACACAAGGTGGGTTAGATGCTTTTAAAGCATTTTTCTAACCTCCTTCTCTCATTCTAAAGTTATTTTAAAAATCTACTGATGAGCCTCTTTTGAAGCCTCCACCAAAAGGAGCAAGTTCTATCTGAATTTTATTTTTTAAAGTTGAATTCAGGGAGCAGAGCTGGTGTCATGCATGGAAATGTAGCAACAGGCCATAGAGCAGTTTCTCCAGTATGGTGTTTATTTGACTGAGATATGGGCCTGTTTCACCACAGAAACAATCTTTGCTAAGCAGCTCCCTCCAAAGGTCTGAGGAAAGCCAAAGAACAAAGTAATGATTCAGTGGCTATTTGCCATAGCAACTGCTTCATTAGGAGCATCTCTCCTGTGATGCTGACTTGAACATCACGGGAGAGAAGCTTAATTGGACATCAGGCAGATGTTCAATTACTTGGGAATGCACTACACACTTGGTGCACTAAGAGGAGGGAGAACACGACAGGCAATATGCTCTCCACTTTTAAGCATTTGTTCGCCGGGAAGCAGAGGTGATTTCATTTTTTAAAATTAAAGTATTTCCTACCCACAAAAAGCCATATCAAGTCCACAGACATCATCTATGACATCTGCAGACATCTGCATCTTTAAAAAGAACGATGTGGAGAGGTTAGGCAGCCCTAAGCAAGCCTGCACAATCAGGCTTTCACACTAGGCCAGACAAGCCAATGATTTGACTCAAAGTTAGGCTGCTTCCTATGTTGCTGCACACGATGACCTAACAGAAAAACTGGCTCTGTGTACATATAAGGAGGGTCTGCCTAGGGAAAAAGCTTGCAAAGCTAGGACAGGATCCAGACACTCTCTGCATCTTTCCACCCTGCATGCATGTTTCAGACTGCCCTGGTACTCCTGCTAAACTCTTCCCCTCATCAGCAGTTGTCTTGCCATGGACAGCTGTGCTTGCAGGGCAGCCACTAATGGAGTATCAGGCCACTAGCGTGTTGCTAGCACCAGGGATGTGTCTGGACATTCCTCAGATAGATCTGCAGGGCTCAAATCCTAGCTATGATGGGGATGTTGTACCCCTTCAGATGTGCTTGGACTGCAACTCCCATCATCCCTCACCACAATCTTGCCTGTTTCCTGTTGAAACAGTGCACTGCTTTTGCTTTTTAAGAACACACCAATAGGGCTCCAGGCAAGACTCTTGTAAATATTTCTTAACACGCTTCACTGTTATATATGCCAAGGGACTTTGTATAACTCATATGGTGTAGTGGTTAGAATGTAATGAAGAAATTGTTTCTATTTAAGGACTCATAAAGAATATGGCTATGGTTGGACACAGTAATGCCTGTTAAAGACACACAAGATGTAAAGGAAGAGATGGTTTTATTCACAGAAAGGCAACCATAAAGCACATGGTGAGTGTGTTTAAAATATACATTTCAATTGAAAGAGCTGCAAAGATAGAATCAAAATACAATAGGCAAGAAAATCTCTCCTATATGTTTGCTCAGAAATAAAGTTCCAGTGAATTCGGTGGGGCTTACTTATTTCCCCTCTTGCCAAGGCTGCCAGTATGCCAGCAAGACAGACACTCCACCAGGTGCCCAAGTGGCACTTTGGCGCAACTATCACTGATTCACTCTTCTCCACTGTGATCACAACCCCTTTTGTGGTTGGCATGTCTTCCCCTGCTCCACTTCCCCTTGTGTGTGTGGGTTTCTTTTACTTTTTACTTTTCTGAGAGTGCTTTTTGAGATATTCAGTGTGACAGCCTAACCAAAATGCCCACGCTGCACATTAGAACCACTCTTGCTAGTTTGCCACCTATGTCTTTTGGGTCAGGAATGTGCACAAATGTTTTTGGTTATTGTTTACTGAGAGTGCACAACTCTGGGTACTCAAAATTTGAAGCCTTCCCTGGTCAATGTCTTAGTAAGTGCCCATTGTCAAAGCTCCTGCTTACAGATTTTATGGCTGCCATATGTCCTTGAAAAAACTTTGATTAGCCATCAACAACTTTGCTTTAAAAGAAACCTTCACAGCTGTCAAAAGTGAGTGCTTCCATCTAGCAGCTTGGAAAAAGGGTGGAAAAGTGGGGAATGCTGAGAACTGTCAGACCCACACTTGAAATCTAACAGATCTTACTGAAATGAGAATGAATTACTGACCACTCCCTTTCACATCTTCTCCTGGCATTGTTTTCACTTGGCAGCTCCCCATCTGACTCCTGTTGAGCTAAAGCAAGTTAATCTGTTTGAAGCTTGCCCTTGTCCATTTCCATGGATGGACATTGCCTGTGACAATTTCCACCAGGACAATGACCAGGCAAGGTTTCAAGTTTTCAACAGTTGGG